CTTTGTCTCAATAGAAAATAATATCCCCTAAAAAGTTAGGAGAAAACTATATATAATGTGTACATTTTAGTCAAGAAGAATACTAAGTCGATCCATGTGAAATAGATAAACCAATAAATTCATGCAATTTCTTTCTCACGGTAATTTAATTAGGAGTTCCAGATGCCGTGAAAGAATATTTGGTGCAGGAGGAGTTTTCTGCAAGAAGGTCTCTGACTTGTTCATTGTAGATTTCTACCATTTGAACGTATATCTCGTATGTCATCATGTCCCTTCTTTTGTTACATATCAGAAAGAGACGCTGAGAGCTAGATAGTTAATTCCCATTTCAGTAGCTGATCTGCCTGGAGGACCACTCTGCATCAAGGTAGTACATATGATAAGTAACTCCATATGCAGAAAGGCAAGAAGATGCTCTAGTTTGTAAAACAATTCTCACCCTCCCTGATCCTGTTTGGCCATACGAGAAAATACAGACATTGTAACTAACCATCCATCACTGATCTGATTGAGTAGTGGTTGTGTTTCTCTGAAGACATCATCTGAACACATGAAAAAAAAGATTCAAAGATATTTTACAAATAAGTTTCACGCTCACAGCCTTTGATGTTGCTGTTGGACCAAATACTTGATTAAACTGAAACGTTTTCCTCGCATCTTTCTGTTGCTTTGATGAATCCACAGAATCAACGAGACATCTTTTCCTATATAATCTATTACTCGTTTTATTTCACTACTGAAGATTGGTCTAACTCTTCTGGAGTACACTCTTATATTCCTTGCATATTTCAAGACATGGGATTACGACCTTTTTAAGAGCAAAACTTGTGTTGACTATTTCCTACCTTTAAGATCTTGGACCATGTTATATAGCTTTCGGTTCTCTTCCACCACGTTGTATTATCCTTTAGCTGCTGATGACACCTCTTGCATCTGGTTCCCTGTGCATATGACACAAAAATTGCACTTGAAACCAGGAAATGAGATTGTAACAAAAAAATGAAACCTCAGAAAAGAAACTAACCTGATCATGTGTATATTTGAGACTTATGAGAGTTTCTTCATCAAAGTGTTTGCTCATTTGAGTCCTGAGGATAGATATTGACCTAAGTGAGCAAACTAGAGAGTCCCACAAGTTTCTGTTCAATGAATCACCAACAAATCTACAAACAAAACATCTTACGAAAAACAGAATAACCATGTGAGACACCACACAGACACCTTATGTACCCAAAAAAAAAAAACACAAAAGACATTACGTGATTGATTTCAACGCCAATACGTGAAATAAAACCCATAAACTCCCGAGGACATGGCCAATTGTAACCAAATAAGAGGTCCAAGATCGACTTTGGGAGTACAATGTGAAAATATAAACAAGAAAATGTGAAGACTTCGTTCAACAAAAATTGAGGGGAGAGTTAGAAGTTACGGATCAGTAACCATTGTGATCGAGTATCTATGACTGGTAACTTATTGAACAAAGTATCTACGACTGGTCATCGAGTACATATCTTTTCTTTCTATTCAGACTTTCTGTCTGGAAAACACAATCATAAACTGTGTTAGTCATCGAGAAAACATCAAACTTTCTCTATCATCTCAAAATCTTATTTTGGATTTGGGTTCCCTAATTCTTTTCCTAACCCAATCACGAATCACTGAAACGAAAATCGGTGAAAGTTGACGAAGAAATATCAAGTGGGGATGACTAACCTTCGGATCGGCGGAAGGTTCTGAAGTTCACGGCGGAGCAAAGAGAACCGATGAGAGATTACGCGGCCAAGTTAGGATGGACGTTGAAGGATTTTCGAGGGCGAGTTTTTTGCCAAGGGATCCGTGTTTCTCGTTACATTGTTTGCTTAACATCAACAAATACTTCTTTGTTATAAACTATATACTATAAGGTGAGATTTG